CCCTAATAATTCCCCCAGTTGGCACCTTGACCGCCATTTTGCACTGACTTATAGTGTAAGCATTGTGAATAAAAAATCATTGCTTAGTGATGTACGTAACATCTATCCATGATTTCACACTTAAACATTCACATTGTTATAAATTATTGTGAATGTGGACATTACAATTAGTGATTACTCTCCGTTACTTTGTAAATAAGACTAAAACTAGGATACCTCAACAAAATTCCCTAAAAAGATGTGTGAAACCAGTCGGTTCGTAGTATTCGCCAAATTGCAGGCGGATTCGTACTTATTCCAGCATATCAGTTTATCGTCCTTGGAAATATGGCCTTTTATCGACTTCAAACGAATAATGAATGATAAATTTCACTTCGGAGATTTACTTGGAATAGATAAAATTTGCTGGATATCGTTAGAAAATTTAACGAAAACATCTGAATCCAATCCGTAACTCATCACTTTTACATTTAAAAACGTATACGCATGAAGAATGATTGACTAAACCAAAATAGCGTTACTTTGCAATAAACACGAGAAGTATTCTACGCAATGCGGAGTACTGGTCAAAGCTGATGGGCACGCAGTTGTATGCAAAAAATGGCAAAGTTTGTCAGTCTTTCATATTTCCACAATAATATTTGTCAATACACATCTTACCCTGCCGTGCATGTAATATCATTATAACATAATTGTGAAGAAATGATGGATAAGGTAAGGGTTGAATGTTTGATTTTTTAAAGGTCTATTCACTATACTTCACCATAGGCCAGTGCAAAACGGCGGTCAGGTGGATAAACCGAGGGAATTATGTATTTCATGGATAACCAGCACATTGCTTCAGATTTATCTTAGTTATAAAAAAAACTAGAAAATCTAGAAAATGGTTAATGTAAATGTTACTCATGGTGTTGTTACAAATAAATAGTTTGGCTAGAGATGAAAACAGAAGTCACTCAGTCTAATATATATGTGAATTGTGAAAAAATTTGATGCATTGCCTAAGGGAAGAACAAATCGTCATTTTCCGGTTTTTCGAGGGGCAAGTAGCGTTAGTTTTCGATCAGTGGCACTTGTGCATTTTTTAGTTCGCACAGGGCACAAATTGCAACTCTTACTGCATTATTTGTGCAATGAGTTAGAGCACTACTCACATTGTAGACTAATTTCTGTAGTTATCAGGTTCTTCAAGAGATTATTTAAGATGACATTTGACCCCTGAAAATTTGCAGTAATAGTTGGCGAGATTTGCGAAAACAAGATCCCGCCCCTGTTGCACAGCAAACATTCCCAAGTTTCATTTCTGTAAGTACGATATTCGGTACTTCTACCATAATTTGCATAATCAGTCAGAAAGTATTCTTCTCATGTATGCTTTTTTTCGAGAATCACCAATATAATTCAAACTCAAATATAGCACTTCCATCAAGTTTAATACTTATTTCTGTGTAGATTAGCTCTTGTAAGCTCGCATTCGTTACTTTGAATCATCACAGCGTGCAGCAACAATGCGTTTGGAGTGTTTTTCGATTTAGTATGGAAAAATTTTGTGCTCATTTTGCTTTAACTTTTCAAAGTCCCTGATAAATTGCTTTGTGATTTTAGCATATTGTATTTAAAATCGTAACATGTAAGCGAAAAAAATTTTGAAGTGCATAAAATTGAGTAAGACTTTTCTGGTGATTGATTCTGCACAGAGGAGCGGTTTTCTTGCTGAAGGTCTGATATTCAATAAAGAAATGCGTTGTTTGCGCTATTTGTTTTCATATTAATTGACTATTAGATATTTTTGGTTTTTGCGTAAAGAGATGCAGTAAGCTGAAGATTTGTGAAATACGTAATTTGATAGCCAACTATGAAACGTTCATGCAAATTCAGTCATAATATTAACTGCACAATTTCATTAAAATCACACAGAAGTAATCTTCTTTTATGCGTTATTGATTCTGGCGCTAGATTGTATTCCGGCAGTCTCCCTGTATTGGTCCCGCACTTGCGATTAGATATATACTTCGACGTAATCATATACAATGATGAAGTATTATGAAGGCGCAGAAGCATTAGCTCACTCCTGTGTTCAGCGCTGTGAATCCCTTGTCGTTCCTTGGCAAGTACAGTAGAAGAAGGTTCACAAGATGTATGTAGCAGTTATTATACCCTATCTTCAGACTAAATACAACCTCGTAGAAAATCCAGGAGTCGAAAACGTATTAGCAGCTCAGAAAACGCTTCTGTATAGCAAGTAGAATAGAAAATTCGTCAGATATATACATTTGCTTTTGCCTCAATAGTTTATAGTAGTGAACGCACGTCTCTTCTGATTTTTATTTTCCACTAATATATATGCGTTTTTTCCATAGCACTTATGCTATTTAATTAATTTATTCAAATACGCGTGTTTCAAGCTTCTATGGATGTTATAGTAAGAGCAAAAGTCCATTCCTGTAGATGTATACATAATTATTGATAATGCAGAAAGTGTTTATGCGACTATAATTATTTGTGCGATTAAGTAGTCGCCCAAAATTTGTTTACATCTATATTGATATATGCTTATTTGTTTAATATTTTTCTCAAAAAGCAACAGTTTTCATGCCCGGAAAGCAAATGAACGTTATAGGCAATATTGTTAAAGACTAAAATGCTTGATTTATTCAATACACATTGACTTAGAAAGCAGGTGGTCGATTGTCAACTTTCACGATGTGGAAGCACCAGTCCAGCATGATTTGTGGTATATTACGACCAATTTTCAGCACATGTCAATATAAGAAAGTTTAGTTCTCACTAGCAAATTGATGCGAAAGTCATCACATTTGATGAGCGCAAATATGAGAACATTAGTGAATAAATTATAAGAATTGCAAAAATTACACTAGTTTTTAAGCGGAAAGCTATAAATGCCTGAAATACAACCTCGGTTAAAATCCAAGCGTAGCAGGCAGTATAAATCTGTTAAGAGATATCTTTGTATTGAAAAACTTTTCTGAATATAATACAGCTTTTGACTTTCAAAATCAAAAGCAAAGCAAAATAAACTACTAGACTTGTGAAGCCGAAAAATTGGCTAGGAGATGCACTGCAAGAATGAAGAGTTTGTCTCATTTTGCAGTGCATTTTATAAAATTGATTGACTGACTTTTGAGCTTTGAAGATCTCAATTCAGTACACAGAAAAGATCTGCAGAGTTCCCTCTAAAGGTCAAGATTTGCTAGACGTCACTAAAAACTGACGTTATCTTGTTGCTTGACATCAATGGTTATTTTTTTCTCAAGAGAAAATTTCTTCAATAATTTTCTGCTGGGAAGTAAATATCTAATGTAAGTAAACAAATGTGAGCAGTAAATCTTCAAGTAAGTCTTTTGTTATTAGTTATTAGTGTATTTGTTTCGAAAAGTATTAAGATTTTTTAATCAGTTTCAGTTGCTTTGTATTTTCGTCACTAATTTTTCTTGCTAGAAATGAAACTCGAATTATTAAGAAAATAAGAAGTCATGCAAAAAATTGAGCAAATATTGGCAGTTTCACTATCCATCGTATGTCTAAACCTAAGAGTTAACTAAAACTTTGAAATACACTAAGCCTTGCGTTTTTAATATTTTTAAATGATTTGAATTTGGCTTTGTTATTGTCACTTAATGTTTACACTTTGTTCTACAAAAAATGAAGACGTTTAGAAGAAAATTTTCTTCTTAAATAAATTATAATCACAGTTAAATTAGCGTGAAGTTTAAATTTCGCTTCAAAAGTACTACTTTGTATATATAGCGAACTGATCAGATTTTGAACTGCATAAAAGATAAATACGTGAATTGTGGTTTTAGTAAAATTCAAATATTTGTTCGTATACGAAATTTCATTTCTAATTATTTGCGCAAGTTACAGATTTTGCTATTGATAATTTGTGGTACAATTTTACGTTCTATAATTTATAGCAGAAATTTGCGCTCTGCAATTTATGGTTGTTGCACAGTCACGGCAGTACACACATCGTTAAAGATAACCAAAAATTAAATGAAAAATCTCCTGCCAATAAACCATGTGAAATAAACAAAGCACTAAATTACGATTTATTTGAATAAATTAAAAATCTCAGACTGAACAAAGCTTCTAGGCAAACTTTTGTTAATTTTGTTATCTATAAAAACTTTTTTCGAAATGAAATTGTATATCTTTTGTTTCACTTTTTTTTTCACTAATTATCATCTTTTAATCTTCTTAAAGTTCAGTCAAGCAAAAAAACTTGCTGCAATGTACATTTTGTTTTTTCAAATATTAATCTTTGCTTTGTAAAACCTACAAAACTGTTTCTTGTATTGTTGTAATGACTTAATGAATTAGTAATAACCAAATTTTCGTACTTAACATTTTTCAATGTTTACAATAATTTGAAGTATTAAAAATCATAGTTTTTTCTAAAATAAGGATTGTAAAATCGATAGAAGTGTGATCTTACTTGAGCGGTCATCAGAATATCGGATATAGCATTGAATAATGATATTTAGCAGAAAAATTAGTGAAAAATTTGCACGCGCGTATGATGCTAATGTCTAAAGCTCTCAAATTCACTCTCTTAAGTTTAATCTCATTATGATTATTTTTAGTTTGAATTTTATTGAAGACTATTCAATCTTTTATGTTTTTGCATTGCTAAGAAAGGAGTAGGATAACAATATATTGCTGTAATTTTATCCTTCCATACTTGGCATTTGATGGGTAGTCATTGCTTTTGCATTTTTTGATTTTTTGTTTTACTCAATATCGACCGCTTACGCATTAAATACTTGAATTCATTGCAAAAATAGAGGCCATCACTTCGAAATTACCTTTGCTTTGATAGAATGATCATCTTATTTGCATTGATAAAGAATAGCACAGATAGTTTGTCAAATTAATAATGCATGAAAGAAACTAGTGAATTTGAATATACAAAAAGTTTTAAATTTTCCAAATATTTTTTAGGACTCCTAAAAATTTCCAGCAATTAATCCTAAAAATTTCAGCTTTAATGTGAATTTAAATTGCTTCCATATACACTTACCTTCCACAATGTCTTACCTAAATTTCATCTGCCTCGGCTTTAGCATTACTTAACCTTGCTGTAAAGTAATTTATCGATTCTTGGCCTAACTCCATCTATCCATCCATCTAATCAGCAGCTATTCCCTTCAACTATTTTACTTTTGCATTTCTGTCTCTGCACGCAGTTTGTCCTTCAATTTATAAGCCTCAATCCCAGATCAATAGTACGAAAAAAAGTCTGAATTGAAGCACTCACTCCTTAAAAAACTAAACATCCATTCTTACTCTAATTTTTTTTCACTTTTCATATTATCTATATATAATGTTTCCATATTATATATATGTATAATTTAGCAGGTCGGAGGTTAATCTTCTATTTTGTTTTATTGGTTCTCGCGTTGGGTCGTATTTCGGCACTCTCGCTGTACTTGA